CGCTAGTTGAAGTGGTTATCAGCCAGGACCTTCGGGAGGATACCTACCGCCCGCAGCAGCCGCTGCCGCGCTCGACGCCGCCGCAGACTTCGGCCCTGCCGTCGCACCACCCGACGCAGACGACGCTCCACCAGCACCCCTACCCGCAGACTCCGGTCCTGCCGTCGCACCACCCGACGCAAACGACGCTCCACCAGCACTTCTACCCGATCAATCCGAGCGGGCTCCAGCAGACGACGACCAAGAACGACGGCCTTCATAATTTCGGATCGGAATTCCCGAACGCCCACAAGAGGGACCAGCCGACGAGGATGGATATAGTTCGGGATCTTAGATGATCCGCAAATGGGCGAAGCAGATTGAGCAGCGGTCCAAGCAGGGAAACTAGCCTCGCCGACCACAGCAGCTCCCAGACCAAACGGGAGCAAAGACCCGACGACGTGATCAGCAGGAAGATGCCCCCCAGGCAGTAGAACGCGACCGACAAGAACGTGACGATCCGAGAGTTCGGGCCGCAGAGAGGAAGGAGCTGCTGGACGACCTGCCGAAGTGCATCAAGAAGCCCCGTGAGGCCAACAAGGTAGACTACTACATGGACATCAAGGCCACCTCAGACCAGATGCAGTTCGCGCCGCCCCTACGAGGAGTACTTTTCACCAGGAAGGCTGCCGCGAAGGAGCTAAAGTATGACACCCTGAACAACGAGGAAAAGCAGCTCATGGACGTGGCGATGAAGGTCGAGTGGCCCAAGTGGACGGAGTTCGGCCCCTGCAAGAAGTTGCCGCCCAGGGAGGTGAAGGAGCGAGCTCTTGAGGCGCAATCCTGGCATGCGCTCCGTGGGCGCACGTTGGGTGCTCACCAGCAAAGGGCCCAACCTCATGAAGGCCCGCCTCGCCGTTCGAGGATGTCAGGAGGACAGATCGCAGATCCGCACGGACGCAGCGACAGGATATAGAGATGCACTTTACCTTGCCCTCGCCGCTGCCTCACTATCTGTTTGAAACGTCACGTCGTGTGACCCCGTGGCGGCCCGCCTCCAGTCCGGCAATATCGAGAGGCTTCTGCTGCTTCGCGTGCCGGCGAAGAACCCGCCGCCAGGGGCGCTGCCCGGCGAGATCGCGATGGCGACTGGGGCCATCTATGTCACTCGTGATGCCGGAAGACAGCGGTACCTCTACGCTCAGAAAGTCCTCAGGGAGCACGGCCTTCTCGAGAGCAGGCTCGAGAAGGGGCTCTACTATTTTTGCGATTCGAGGGGCCTCGCCGTGATCATTCAGTCGCATGTCGACGATTTCTTGATCGCCCAGCGGAAACGACGCCTCGGAGCGGCGGCGCGCTACGGGCGGCTTGGAGAAGAAGTTGCACCTCAAGAAGATCGACGGCACTATCAAGTACTGTCGCCGCATCATCTCCAAGACGGACGATGAGTTCCGCGTCGCGCAGGTGACCGCCGCCGAGCAGGGGGGCCCTGTCGAGATCACCGCCGTGAAGGGCCGCGCCCCGTGGGACAGACTGTCAATGGAAGAGGTGTCTGGTTGCCAACGCACTCTAGGCCAATTGCTGTGGCTCGCGGTTCAAACGCGAGTCGATGCCGCCTGTCCGGTCAGCATGGCCGCCAGGCGCACCAACGTTGCCACCGTGGCCGACGCCGAGGCACTCAACAAGACTGTGACTTACGTTCGCGGGTCCGCCGGCTTCGCCATCGTGCTGAATCGCAACCTCATCGACCTAAAGACCTGCACTACGGTTTGCTTCAGCGACGCCGCGTTTGCCAACATCGATGGCATCAAGAGCCAGTGGGGCAGGGTCCTGGGCCTCACCCGTAGACCACGTGATGTCGTCGGGGGCTGTTATGATCTGTGCCTGCCTGTCGCTGGGCACTCCGGTACCGTCAAGAGGTCCGCGAAGTCCACGCTGGCCGCCGAGGGGCGCGCCACTTTCGATGCGGACCGAGATCAACACCTGTTTCCGCCAGCTTCTTACCGAGGCCTACAGCCCCAGGAAGCCGCTCAAGGAGATCGACGACCTCAGCCTGAAGCGCCCTGGGGAGGTGTTCAGCGACAGCCAGGGCCTCGTCACGCACATCCAATCCGACGTCGGCCAGTCTACCGACAAGCGGTTCCGCATCGTCGCCTCCATGATCAAGGAGTCCGTGCACCCCATGGCAATAGCGAGCTGCGCTTGACTTGGGTGCCTACCTGGAGTGGTCGCAGACGCACTCACGAAGGTGATGGAGACTGGCCCGCTGATTTCGTTCTTCGGCGCCAAGAGGCGCAACTTCGGCGCCGGGCACCCCGACGCCGCCATGATCGCCTCGGCGATCGCCGCGTGCATCGCCAAGGTAATGGGGTAAGCCGACCCCAGGGCCGCCACCGCCGTTCGACCTGAACCACTTCTGGTACATGTGCTACATGACATGTTTTTTTTTTTTGTTTTTCTATGTTCCCGGGCATGACGATCGGGCTCAGCCTTTTCGCGGTCGTGTGGTTCATGGTGCCCCAGAACGCCATCAGGCCGCCGTCGCAGCAAGGGGGGGGGGCCACCGCTGATCGGCACCCTGGGAGTGATGATCGCCGCCTGGGCAAACGCCGCAACCTGCCGCCCGTGATCCCCGAGGAGGAGAATGCCGACGGGGGCATCTACATGCCCGACGCCATGGTGTCTGCGACTGCGGCCGCGGTGGCGCAGAGCAGCTCCTCGGCTGGCAGCGCCGCGCCGAGGCCATCGGCGGCGCCAGCGCCATCGCCTGCTTCGCCGCAGGACAGCTTCGCCTCATCATTAGCACCGAGTACGCGGTGCACAATCGCGAGTTCCTCATCGGCTGGCACCGCGCCCTGGAATGACTCGACGCCGACAGTGTCGCCGGCGGAGATCAACGAGTGCGCCGTGGCAGGGCATAATTTCCGTGTGCGACATAAACCCACACAGCGTTTACGCCACCTGCAGGACCTGCAAGCGCCACGCATCGTGGCGTCGCTGCAACCACAGGGTACACAGCCCCGACCCCTCGAGGTTGAATCCCTCGCTGAGGCAGGTGGGCGCAGGTGATGGGAGGCGCTGTGCCAAGCAGGGGATCAGCATTGGCATCGAGAAGAACCAAGAAGTCCACATAAGTGGGTCCCCGCTTTCATTGCCTGTTATAGTCGTCGCCTCCTGGACACTGCGTTTGGCAACCGCACGCGCACTCCGCATTGCCTGTCATTGTCTTTGCCACCCGGACGCTGTTTCTGGCAGCCGCACACGTTTTCCGCATTGCCTGTATTTTTCTTCGCCGCCTGGACGTTGGTTCCAGCAGCCGCACACGTGCTCCGCATTGCTTGTAATTGTCGTTGCCACCCGGATGCTGTTTCTGGCAACCGCACACGTACTCCGCATTGTTTGTAATTGTCTTCGCCGCCTGGACGCTGCTTCCAGCAGCCGCGCACGCACTCCGCAGTAATCTTGTCGTTGTGTTACTATAAAGTCGCTGCTTGTAGCAGCTGTTTATGTTTCGTCCGCGTCCGGCTTGATCAGCCTCTGTATTTTTTTTTTCTCTGGTGGTGATGACGACTTTCCGCCATTGGTTTCGCTCAAAGTACCCTTCTTCTTACTAAGTAATAAGGCCCGGGCCCATCGCCTGTTGCATTGAGAATTTATCTTGCAGGTGCGCGCAGAATCCCCGTTACATCGCCCCGGAGGGCAGCTTGCTAGCACGCCGAGCAAACCGTTCGCTTGCAACATATTATCCCGATGAACATACCCCCGTTGCAATGTAGTCTTTGGCGAGTGACTTCTAATAGTCCCTGGTCAGACGCCCGACACGGCGACTGGGAGGAGTTTGAAGCAAGCTCATTTCCCAGGAATGTAGGAGGCCCGAGAGGGATTCCCCAAAAGCTCGAGGGCCCTGCTGTTTCTTTCCCCTTCTGTTTTTCTTTGCCTGTTCGTCCGCTCTCTTATGCCCGCTCTGCCCGCAACCGCTATCTCTCAAACAAGCAGGGCCCTTGGCCAGAGCTGCGCCATTTGTTTTGATCCGCGCCCAGCAAAAGAGTTTCCTCGGCGCCGCGCGCCGATCTATATTACAGGAAGGGGAGAGCGAAGGGAACCAATATGAAAGCATATATTGGGAAAGGATGGGGAATTCGGCAGGAGGGGGAAGTTAAGGGCACGAGTGGGGTACCAGGACCTGCCAAACTGGCTGCGACGGACTCGCACGATAAAGTAATGGATGGGGTGAGAAGTGTTGCAGCCAGGACTGATGACCAGCCGTCTCGGACAGAAGGATGATTTTTCACAAGGGGCAGCGACGTGCCACGACACCAATGGCACGGCACGAACTGCCGAGAAGGTGCCATTGACAAGCACAATAAGACCCCAGGATGTGACTTGAGACGCGGTGCAGATGGGCCCGCGGACCGGTTGCCTCGCAGCGAACAGCAGGAAGTAGGCAGTGGAACAGCCGAACAGCTCATAGGAGAAATGAACATCGACCAGGCGCGGCGACGAGTAGCTTCAACAGAGAGTGGAACAGCCAGGACAGCTGACGAGAGAAGGGCCTGTCGACCAAGGGCATCGATGGGAAACCGGCGGCACCGCGGGAACGGATAGACCCCGACCCTTGGAACAGTGCGATTGCGCGCGAGACGAATCCAACAAAACGCACGACGAACGAGAAAACGAACCGACACCTGCGACCCCGCAGAAACCTTTTCCCCGAACTATCAGCCCCCTAAGAAGGGATGCCCCCTACGTCACGGATGCGTCGACGGTGTTGTGCGATGTTCCAGCCCCGTTTACCGCCGGCCCTTTCTTGGAGGCGGCTGGAAGTGGGAACGGTCGGATCTGGGACGATTATTGATGATTTCTCGTTTGTTTTTGGTCACATGCGCGTTTGTTTTGTGTTCCACCCAGTGGCGAGCATCGCCTTCCCAACAGAAATCATTGTTTGTGATAAATCACAGTTTGCAGTGGGCATCGGTACGTTCCCGTTCATGCCTTTCCTATGTAGCGCGCGCCGGTCGAAGGCGGCTGTGTGACGACCGCTCCAGCATGGACTTCTGGGACGGCCATTCATGTGGGCGGTGCGGTGTCTGCTCTTTTTTTGTGGTGCCATTCAAGTGTGCATTCAGCTACTCTACAGATATCCGACCAGCATGTTGTCCAACGCCATAACTTGATTGGACCCTGGCACATCGTGACATATCATCTCCTTGCATTCCGCGCGAGTTCACCGTTTTGTCAATCACACGCTTCCGAATACCCCCGAACATTGCCTCCACTCCAACCACATCCAGGTAAGTCTGTACATTATATGCCAGGACATCCTCTCGGAATCCCCCCCCTCCGGTGGTGACAGGAATGTTCGAGTCCCTCCGGGGCCCCAAACAGCTCTGGTGATCACGACAGTACACGAATGGGGTCCGCACTGGGCGGCCTCGATGCAGCCACGGACGGCCGCCAGGCGAAGACCCAGAGAGCCCGGCCAGCGCGCAAGGGGCGGCCACGAGGCGGATCTGACTCTCGCGCGATGGCCCTCGCAGGTTCAGGATCTCGGCTGCAGCATGCTGAGCGGGCGATGTTAGCAATGTCTTGTTGGGCCAGGTGGTATCTTGCTGGCACTGTGTCCTGACATGTTCTTGGCTCCACCCTCCAGTGGCCTTCGGCACATTCTGCCACCCGTGCCTGGGTTGTGTGCCAGAGTCCTCTTGGAGCTCTGGATGCCTCTTCGGGGCCTCCTGGAGGCCTCCGGGGGGCCCCTTGGGGGTCTCGTGGGGCCCTCCTGTGCAGGTTTCTTTGGTGTCTCTTGGAAGCCTCCTGGGGCCTGTTGAGTGCCTCTGGGGGCCTTTTTAGGGTCTGCTGGCTGTCTCAGGGGCCACTTTGGCACCGGAGGGCTCCCAGGGCCAGTTCGCCTTCCCCCGTCCAGGGCAGAAGACATGCAAGAAGCATTCAATGTTTCTTGGGTTCCGAACGTGTAATTCGGAACACCGTGGGAGCGATTTGACGCGCCCGGCAATCCGTGCCTTGGGCCCATAAACGATCTTTCACATCACTTATCGCAGAGCGCTGGAAGGGACGTGCTGGCCGCACGCTCGCGAATTTGCCCATTCCATTTGTCTGTTTTGGCAGTTCAGGGTGTCGACCGTTTCGTTACAACTCCCGAGGCATAACACACAACCGGGCCCGGCGTGACGGAGAATAACGATGCATACCCGGACAATCGTGTTCTTGTTTCTCAATTGGTTCGGAGTTCCGCGGAGCCAGAAAATCACCCCCTGTGACCTTTATCCTGTCCAGGGAGCGTGTTGACCAGACTTTCCTTGCGAATCTGGCCGTGGCGGCGAGGGCGCCCCCCAGAGGCCCCAGGCCAGAAAGAGTCTCCTCTCTCGGCGAAGAGGAGGAGGAAGAGGAGGAGAAGGAGGAGGGGAGCGATGGAGAGATAGAGACGGAGGCTTCGCTCCTGGAGGCCCGCTCGATGTATCTCAATCTGCTCGATCTCCCACTCATTTTTCCTGATGCTCCTCCCTCCTCTTCCTATTGTTCCTCCTTCCTGATCGCTGAGGCGATGGCCTCACCCACCTAGTCTTAGGCAGGCCTTGACGGTTGTCCGCGCAGGTGGCCATTTCGTATTCGTTTCGTTTTTTTTTTTCCGTTGGCGAGAGGGTGCGTAGGCCGGTAGACGACAGGGGGTCGGTCGTCGCGTGAAAGAGATCGGCTGCTAGGATCATCCGGATCTAGAAACCGACTACAACAATTGAGCGCGAGCATCCTCACGTCGTTCGAGTAGATGGGGATGGCCGTCGATGGGAGAATCTCATTTTAGACGAACACAGCTGTAGAGAGCACGTGAATGCGGCATGCGCGCCCTAACGGGCTGGCTGTGGTGCGCTTGCGCTTTCCTCCCTCTCTCGCGTTTCCTCGGTCGTCCCCCCTCGTCGTTCGTCCCGCCCTCGCTCGCTCCGCCTCGCCTCCCGTCCCCGCTCGTCGCGCGTCCCTCCCTCCCTGCGTGCGTCCTTCTTTCTCTGATATGTCTGAAGTCATCCAGCAAGTAGCGCCTCGTGACGCGCCTTTGGACGTACGGCTTCTGTAATGTTTTGTTCTGAGCGCTCGGGCTCAAGCACCGCACCGCTCTGCCTGCAGGGCGCTCGACGACTGATATTCGGAGGAGAGAAATTTCGGGAGGAGCGGGGGGATGTTGGAGGGTCTAAGTTTGTTGTTGTTGTTGTTGCTGTTGTTGTTGCTGTTGTTGTTGTTGTTGGTGGTGTTGTTGTTGTTGGTGTTGTTGTTGTTGTTGTTGTTGTTGTTGTTGTTGTGGTTGTTGTTGTTGTTGCTGCTGCTGCTGCTGCTGTTGTTGTTGTTGTTGTTGTTGTTGTGGTTGTTGTTGTTGCTGCTGCTGCTGTTGTTGTTGTTGTTGTTGAACTCTCATTCTTGAAGAGTAATTATTGTTGATCCCCCCTCACCGGTGCACATTGTTTTTTGTTCAATTGAAGTGCCCCCCCGGGGCTCGCACCTTGTTTTTTGTCAAGGCAATTCTTCCTACTCAAACTGGCCCCCTGGCCCCCGGGGTACAACAACAACGGCTCCCGCCTGAGACGTCCTTACAATTTAGCCAGGACCCCCGCTCCCGCCCGAGATTTCCTCGCATTTTATTCAAACATCGCGCTCTCGCTTGGGACTTCCTTACGATGTATTCAGGAATCGCTCCTCCTGCGCTCTGGAGTCGCGCTCTCGCTGGAGACTTGCTTGCAATTTACTGAAGAATAGCGCCCTTGCGTTGGAATTTCTTGCAATTTACTCCAGCGCCGCGCTCCCGACACCCAGGCACCCAGGAGTCGCTCTCACGCTTAGGACCCCTTCGCAGATTACCTAGGAATCGGGATCTCGCTGCGTTTCGTGGCCCCGTTGCCGCCCTTCGTGGCCCCCTCGCTGTGTTTCGTGGCCCCGTTGCCGCCCTTCGTGGCCCCCTCGCTTTGTTTCGTGGCCCCGTTGCAGCCCCTCGTGGCCTCCTCGTTGCCCTTCGCGGCCCCGTTGCAGCCCTTCGTGGCCCCCTCGCTTTGTTTCGTGGCCCCGTTGCAGCCCTTCGTGGCCCCTTCGCTGCCCTTCGTGGTCCCGTTGCAGCCCTTCGTGGCCACGTTGCAGCCCTTCGTGGCCCCCTCGCTGCCCTTCCGTGGCCCCGTTGCAGCCCTTCGTGGGCCCCTCGCTTTGTTTCGTGGCCCCATATATGTATGCCCTTCGTGGCCCCCGCTCGTTCGCGCCCGTGGTGGCCCCATATGCATGCCCTTCGTGGCCCCGCTGTCGCCCTTCGTGGCCCCCTCGTTGCCCTTCGTGTCCCCGTTGCTGCCCTCAGTGGCCCCGTCCGTACCCTCCGCGGCCCAACATACGTATGCCTATCGTGGCCCCCGCTCGTTCGCGCCCGTTGTGGCCCCATGTGCACACCCTTCGTGGCCCCGCTGTCGCCGTTTGTGGCCCCCTCACTGTCCTACGTGGCCCAGGTGCTACCCTCAGTGGCCCCATCGTTGCCTTCTGTGGCCCCGCTTATCTGCACTTCGTGGCCCACGCTCGTTGGCGCTCTTCGTGGCCCCATACGCATTCCCTTCGTTTCCCCGCTGTCGCCCTTCGTGGCCTACTTCGTGTCCTTCGTGGCTCTGCTGTCGTTCTCTCTCGCTCTCGCCTTCGCTCGTCGTCGCCGTCGCCGTCGTTGCCGTCGTCGTCGACGTCGTCGTCGTCGTCGTGGTCGGTGCCCTGTCCGTCCCTCTTGGGGTCGGGTCGACGGTCCGCGGCCGCCCCGCCGCTTGCCGGGGCCCGGCCTGCAGGGAAGAAAGGTATACCCCCCAAAAGAGGTTCGATCGAAGACGAACAGGGCGGGTATCGAGGGTTTTGGAAATTCGCGTTCGTCGACACTCGAGCAGATAAGGGCTAACAGTCTTAAAATGATTGTTGTTGTTGTTGCTGCTGCTGTTGTTGTTGGTTTGTTATCCTTCAGGGCTTCGCCCTCTGCCGCCGCCCCTTCCCTATCAGCATGGAAGCGAACCGCCGTGCCAGGATCTCTGGGCGCCATCTAAAACACATCTGGGAATATCGAGCGGGAACTGAACGGAATCACCAAAACATATTGAGACGCGTTGGCAGTTTGATGCGTTTGTGGAGTGTTTCCCTCGTGCTATGAATTAGCAACCCCCGCGGTACGACTGGAGGCTGCTTGCTGCCATCTTAGGCCACATCGCGCGGCTGGGATTGTATTTAGGATCGTTGCATCCTTCGCTAGAGGAGTCGTGGCTGCGGGCCCACCGCCGAATGTTCAAGAAACGGCGCGGGATGGAGGTGGACCCCCCTAGAATAACTATCCCCAATGCAGAGACCCCCCCTAACACACACGACCCGAAGCAGACTATGTATTAATGTTGTTCTAATGTGGAAATGTAGCGGCGCTTTTCGGCAGTCTCCGCGAGGTGGGTTCGTAGCTTTTAGAGCGCAAGCGAGGAACCGCGGCCGTGGGGGCGCGGCTCTAGCGTATTATTTAACAGAACATATTTTCGGGAGCTCGAGTTGGGTGTAATTTTTCAAGGGACAGGTTGGAGTAATTTGTCAGGGAATATGGCTTTAGGAACGTGACTCTTCTATGGTTTACAGTGGGTTCTGGGCTCGGGGGCGCGAGCCTGATATAATTCACAAAGAACTCTGGCCTCAGGAACGCGAGTTTGGTTGGACGTACGCAGGCATATTGTTTCGGGAGCGCGACCCTTGCGTACCTATGAGAGATCCTGTCGAGCGCGACCTGTTCTGCGGACGCTGGGAAGGTTGAGGGGTGTTCGAAACGGGTTGGGAGGGGCGGCCCTGGCCCCTGAGGTGCAAGGGGGAGAGCAGGTTCGAACTGGGAGGGGGGGGGGGATCGAGCCAGTTTCCCTTCCCCCCTAGTTACAAGGGGGGTTGGTGGTCGAACCGGGAGGGGCCCCTGTCACGGGTTCAGGGAGGCCAGGACAGACACAAAGGGGACGAGATAGAGCAAGAGTGTTTTTGTCAGCACGCCTCGGGGAGTCCT